GAGCCACAGCAAAAACAACAAAGGGGTGCAAGAGACGGCTACTTGGCGAATCTAGTTACCGAGAAAGGCGAGGCTTGCGACGCTTTAAAACTGCGATGGAGAAGAACGCGACAAAGCACGAGAGATCCTCGTGTCTCTCTTCGCACCTCTTCGCTTTTTTTTTTTCCAAAAGAACTGGGAGACTCGAATATCTTCCATGCTATAATTCTATGAGATGAGAATATTGTTGAATTAATTTCCCATTCATTGAATCAATTTCCTTTGTATGTATTATAAAATAAAGCAAATCCTTACTCTTTTACGAAATTAATTTCATTTCATGAATAATAATCGAACTGATTATTTTACGCAATTGCCTATTACTAATTTATCACCAATAATTTAAAAAAAACCGAAAAGTCTCTGCCAGGCTATAATTCTGTAAATGTGAGAAACTTGGTTCTCTCATTATATAATGTTAAATTAATTTTCCATTCATTGAATCAATTCTCTTTGTGTTTTATAAAATAAAGTAAATCCTCACTCTTTTACGAAATTAATTTCATTTCATAAATAATAACCGCTCTGGTTATTTTACGCACAATTGCCTATTACTAATTCATTACTAATAATTAAAACCGATGTTTAATTTATACGATAATAAATAATAATTATCACAAGAGATTTAAGATTCATGTATATTGCATTAATATAATAGAAAACGGGGACTGATCCGCGCGAAGATTTAGCTTCCTCGAGTGTGCACAAAGGTCGCTTTGCCCCTCGATGCGTTTACGGCATTCGAATAATTATGGCACAGATGCCTTGACAGAAATTTTATTGCGACGCAATATCAATATCCTAGAGATTCCGGGGTTCCACGTGCTAGAACAGCCGCACGTTCCGGTCCGTTCTCTGCTAAGCACTCCCATTACGGTTGCATATTTAACGTGCGCTGTCGCATAAATGCACGTTACGGATAGCTGCGCGTATTACAATAAGCAATTAACGAGCGATATCGTGTTCTATAAATTACGAAGCTCGGATGCATCGGCGTAACCGATGCTCGCGTACGCGAAACGCGAAACGCGCGGGTGCATCCGTGATACGTGGAGTGCACGCGTGTGCATGTGCAATACGCGTCGACGCTTATATATGTACGAACTCGAAATAACGAGCCCACGGAAAAGGGAATAACATGGAAGTGGCGTGCGCGATCCGCTCTCGCATTATCGGCATTCTCCATTATCGTCCTTAATCTTCCGTAATGCGATCCGAATGCGCACATTCGCGATCGCTTTTTTTCTCTTCCTCGCGATAGTCATATACGTTTTCGATTGTTCTTTTTTTCTTCCTCCGCGTGAAAATACACGATTGCACGACCGCGGAATAAAAATGGAAGCGATTCAATCGACGACGGGTACGTTCGGATATTCAATAACCTGACATTCAATATCGGTGACGCTGGAGAGTCGGCCGAGTTACACAGATGTTCCCCGGCATATTCGGCCGATTCCAGAAATGCTACATTGACTCCAGGTCACTAATTCAATTTGTATGGAATCTTTTCTGGAGATCATAATCGGGGATTAGCCTGAGCGAAGCGACAGGGATGCTGCGTAAAAGGAGGGGCCCTACAATAAGGGGGCCGGAGGAGGGGAGAATCTCCGACTCGATGCGTTTATACGTACACACACACACACACACACACGGACAGGCGAAGTGCATTCTTCGCCAGTATAGCAGGCGTCGGTCGGTGTCGCATCGTCAGACTACTCGTAGGTAGCAGAGACGAGGTGAGGCGAGCGAATGGGTCGTTACCAACCAGCCAGCAAGCAAGCAAGCAAGCAGGCAAGCAGGCGGGCGGACAGACGGGGCATATACCACGAACGGGCAGAGGCGAGGGTGCGTCGCCCGGGATATCGATCGCCTCTAAACAAACATGGCTCGTTTTAGTCGAAGGAGTCGACTTCTATCCCGTATAAATCACGGTTATTCCTTCCTGCGCCCGTACATACGGGGTGTCCGTTTTCGTTCGTGTGACACAGACACCGTCCCGTCGTCACCGCCGTCGTCACCGTCGCCGTCGCTGCCGTTCACTTTGCCTCGTAACCGAGCGAGTGAGCGAGTGCGAAGAGGTGAGAGAAGTCGTTCCGAGGCACTCGTGGTTCTTGCGCGAGCTCGCGAGCGAAGGAAGTGCTAAGGGAGACGTCGGAGTCACGGATGCAACACCATTTTTGCCATCGGGGGAAGGAGTTTATTCGTTCCCTTGTTAACAAGCCGAGAATAGATTAAAATGCACCGTACGGAATTTAGCCGATAAACGTATTATGAAAGCGTTTGCTTCCCGTTTGTAGTTTCGCGTGTAATTGTTTAATTAGAACGTAAACGAGAAAGTAAATTACTTCTCTACAATTTATACGATATATTCGAGGAAGTAGTCATTGGATATTTTGCCTTTCTGTTAAGCTCGATGTGTTGTATAATATAATAGAATTAATCTCTATTATTTAAATATATTTTATAAAGTGGAAAAGAAATGTGTGTTATGAGATTATCATAAAGAGAGAGAGAGAGAGAGAGAGAGAGAGAGAGAGAAAGCGAAAGAGACTATGACGAATGGCACTTTGAGATAAGCAAATGCACCGCGTAAAATTATGAAGTCGTATATAAAATTTAGAATTTTATCGTCGAGTATGAAATTACTTTTATTGATGTCTGCGTGCACTTTTTTTACACATGAATTGTATTTACGCTTCGGCGATTTGTTAACTCAACCGATTTATCAACTAGCAATCCCTTGAACTGTAAACTGACATTGAAAAATTACTGGCGCTTGATCTTCGCGATAATGTACAAAGAGCGTATTACAACTGAGTGATTACAACGTTTTGTTTTACATGCCCGTGAACGGTGTAAAGTTTCTTTAGCAAGTGCGAAAAGATGCATTTCGCCGATTACGATTTCCATAGAAAAGACCCGAAGTATCTTATCGGCTTGGCGTTCGCTACAAGATTACGCTAATCGACACCTGCGCGAGGGCAAATAATTATAGAACCGGCGCGGGCGGGGACAACGCTTATTGTTAGTCGTATCGCAACAATGGCTAATCCATACTGCGCCGGTTCACGCGAGATTTGTTGGCCGGCGCGGCGCGGCGGTCGATGCTGTCCGAGAGAGCTTTCATTCTGGCTTAGCCCGTCGCTCTTCGCGAAATCGTCGGTTTGATCGACACGGACTCGGGCAGCCGTGGAATTCCTTGAGGCGAAAAGCCCGTTTCACGGGGATTCGTTCCGAGTTTAACGAGTGGTCGCCCTCGCAATGTGTCTGATACGCTACCCGGTATAATCCGGACGTAAAAAGGAGACGACGAAAAGAAGACGGTCGGAGCTCTCTTACCTGCGACTGTGAGAGTGGCGTTCCTACTCGGGACGGATCCAGCCTTATTCCGCGCGACGCACCAATATACACCACCATCCTGCTCCTTCTTGCCGTGCATCACCCGCAGAAAGAACAGGGATCCCGTAGGCAGCAGGACCCGATGTGACTTGGCGTCCCCCGGCGACGTCTGCACGAGCTCACCGTCCTTGTACCACTCTATCACCGGTTCGGGCTTACCCTCCGCCTTGCAGTTCAACGTCACCGGCTCATTTTTCGCGACTATTATGTCGGACGGGTGCTCGGTTATCCGTGGACATTTCAGCTGTCCTGAAAGCAAAAAAAGGAAATGAAGACTCTTTAGCGGATCTCTCGACGTGCGGTGTGTCGTGTCGTCTTGGCAATCTAATTAGTTCACCCCTTCAACCGGAGATATTTTCGCTACGACATGCGGCATTGCATTCTTTCACGTTGAATTATTTCGTCTTAAATAAAAATAAATGTAGCAGAGACGGAAGTTACGTCCAATTAATTTGTTGCCTCGCAACATTTCGGTAACGACTATCGCATTTAGCTGAAAAATTTCATTAGAATGCCTCTGTCGCATTAAAGCATTTTGCTATTAGTTTAAAATAGATTTTGTCTTCCCGTGCTTAAATTTTTAGATGCTTCAACAAAAACCATTCTTTCTTATAACAGACGTTCTTTTTGACGTTATCTTGTGGATGACGTTTTCAAATTTTAAAACATACTTCAGAAGCCATTGGTATTCTTTAGAGCTTTTATTAATACATACAAAAAATATTCTATTGCTAAGAAAAGTGATTACTCGATTTATTTTCTTCCTTTAAGTAATGATTATTTTTAACAAAAATATTTTCTTGGTAATCATCATAAAGTATATTTATTACAAATTTTAGAAAACCTCATTATTGTGTACTCAAAGTAAAAATTTTCTTTTGAAGAACGTTTTATCGAATTTATTTTAATTTAATAATCTTGTATAAAGTATTAAACTCACTAGGACTCAGAATATATTTTGAATAAATTTGATGAACTTATGATAAATATTTTTCTGTGTGTATACGGATGCTTTTACAGAATTAAAGCATTTTGCTTAAAAATGGATTTCGTTGTAAATAAAAAATAAACGTAATGGAAATAAAAATTATGTCCAATTAATTTTGCAATATCTCGACTATCGCGTTTATCCGACAAATCTTATTTAATAATGCTTCCGTCAAATTAAAACATTCTGTTCAAACTAGACTTCGTCTTAATAATAAATGTATAAGTTAAAATCTATTTACGAAGATATTCATCATTAAGTTATGTTAATCGATATTTGTTGAGAAGGTTTACATAAATTTCCCGTTATTTCTCGCGTCTGATGTGTATCCTCACACCCTCTTGAGACACCACGTATAACACTGAGATCATATAAATTTATTGGCACCTTGCTAATATTAATCTTTCGAAGAGGCTGCCGTCTTGCCAATATTAATATCACGAAGCCGCTGTTTACGTACTGATGCGATCGAACGCTTTTCTTCACCACGCGAACGCCATGAATTTTCTTCTTGTTTCACCGACTATCCTATCTCTCTACTTTCTCAATTTTGTATGGAGCGCTACTGCGCAAAGGTGCACCGTGATCTCGTTAATTTTCAAACACCTGGTCGTAAACCAGCTCAGAAACGAAAATTAAATCCGGCTTCAGCCTGCCTTATTTTTAAGCACCGTCTCGTAAAATTTTCAGTGCTTAATGCCCGTTGTGGATCGCGCGAACATAGAGAAAAGTATTATGCAAAGTTTGTATTTATGTAAAAATTATGTTAATGCTGGCTGTAATTTGTGCCAACGTGATGGCATTAAATTCATGTAAACTCAATTCGACATGTTTACGAGTTACCGCAATTAGCGGCAATATAGAATTGCATTACTAGGAATTAATGCAAATAATGCTGGACATTTTGCGACGCATATGGAGATCGCATTTCTAGCATTAATTAATTTTAATTCAATTATTCTCGTTTTTATGCGTGAACGAAGGGAGTGATTTATTGATGAATGTGATACAACATGTGTTTTCATCAGCGCGGTGTAAACAAATCATAAACCGATTTGCCGTGACACACTGTACACCGCTTTCCGACTCGACTAATATTACGTAGCATCTCGCTGTGACGCTTTATAAATAACGAACGTACGAATTATGCGTTACAATAACTTAAATAATCTCGAGAATGACGTAAAAACGGGAGAGAAAGAAAGAGAATTATTTTTTATTATATCGTATATTATATTAAGTTATATTAATTAACTTATTATCATTAAATTATTAACGAACTTTCATATGTATTAATTTTACATTTTTCTGCCTTTATAAATGATTTTCGAATATTTTATAATCTTGAAATCCTTTTCAAAAGCTGTCTCAAATATGTTTTTTTACATCATTATTAAACATTAAAGAATCAGATTTAAATCAATATCTTAAATTAAATAACATTTTCTTATTTGTAATTTCCACATGCGTCAAAATGTATTATCTTAATACAAAACATGTGGTTAAAAACACAATCACATCTCTGCGGTTGAGTTGCTTAGATTCAAAATAAACAGCGATATTAACACTGCGGGAACAACACACTTGGGTATAGCATACACAACCCAATTCGATTGCTTATAATAGCTTTCATAAAAAATAAACATATTGTAAATACAACTTTTTTTAATCAAAACTCCAGACATTACGGAAATACGGTACCAATCAAATGTATCTTTATTAATTATTACTATATCTTATAAAAAAAATTTATAAGTGATGGAAAAAGCATTGGTAAAAAAAGTCGGATATGCCATACCAAAAAGGCGTTTAAGAATTAACGTGTATGCACTTGATAAATAATAAATAAACTTTGAGTCACACATTTCTTAAGTTAAATTGTTTAACTTTGTTGTTTTGGTTCAATTAACGATATATAGAAGCAATGGCGAACTATAGGAATAATTAAAAATAACTCAATTGGGTATAATTTGACATTACGAATTTAACAGGATACAAGGTACACTGTTGCATTTATAATATAAAATTATTCCCAATTTGAGTTATTTTTATAATCATTTCTAGGTCGCCATCCTACTCAATATGTCGTTATATAACTAAAACAATGGAGTCGAATAAAAAAATGTATTAAATTTGACTCGAATTTAGTTTATTACTAATATTTACTAAATGCGTACGTTTTAATATAGACATTGTTATTTTCAAACTAACCATAGAAATAAATCGATTTATAACATTTTGACACATAAAAGTTAAAAATAACAAAATGTTATTTAACTCAAATGATTGGGTTACCATTGCTCCTTTGATATCTAACAGTGTACATGGATAAAAAGAATAATAGATTGCTGCATAAATTAACTTACAAAATAATTAAAGATTTTTTTACCGCCCGTGATAGCATCGCAGCGTTAGTAAAAAGCGCAGCGATAGTGTTCCGACGGAGAGTCGATGTCACGAGACTGCACAACCACTGCCGTCCAACGGATAGGATAATTCCACGGCAGTTTTTCGCCGTTCGCTTTAACAGCTACCAGAGATCGTCGCGTACAGTCGTGCATCTAGCACGCCTTTGACGCACGCACATGCACGCGCACATGTGAACATACGTGACTCGTGTGGTACGGCACCCAGCGCGAAAGTCATACGTGTGTATGTGCGCGGCGCGGGTGTCCTATTTAGATAACTGAATTATGGATGAATTATTGGCCGCTGGTGTATACGTAGTGCAGGTATATAATTTGATAATATCGCCGCCTCTGGCGTCCTATCTCCGTGCCACGAGATTTCGGCTCGCCGTGGTGTATGTCGCTCGCCGAACGTCCATATGCATTATGCGTGCGCGTTCACATACGTGCATATAGTAGGTACGTGAGCGGCGCGACGCTGCATTGTCGCGTCGCGTCGCGTCGCGTCGCGTCGGTGTGAGCGGAGCAACGAGCAGGCAGGTATTAGTCATCGATAGTGGCTCGGATTACCTGTGGTTACACGCATTATTAGATAGGTGCACCGTGCTGCTGTCTAGTCGGCAGGCATTCCTCCGTGAAGTGCCCGTTCGCGTACACGTGTATTAAAAGGCGAAACCGATAATCGGATGACTTTTACGTAGAGAAAATCGATATTTGCGGTATCGGACCTGAAAAAGGAACTTTTTCGAGATTTTTTTTTTTCGGAGAAAACAAGTATAATACTCGGTATGATAGTGAATAGTGAATAAGGTAATTTAAATAGATAAAAAAGCGCCAAATACGATCAAGGTTAGATTTTAGTATCTAATAATATTTATTTCTATATAAATTTAAAAAAAAATTTTACTATTTATATAAACTACGCGTCGATTACTAAATTAACGTAAAATGATTACTGATTACTGATTGAATTTGAAACGTAATCGCAAATTGAAGCTGCAATATATAAAGGTAATTTATTATAAAAATAATGTAATTGATATTCTATGATTTATAACATGTAATTTTAAATCTGATCAATTTTACACGTGGCAATGTAATTAAAAATGTGAATATGAAATTCAATAACTAATAAATTAACTTTTGTAATTATTTATCTTTTAATTACCGAGGTTTTAATTTAACATTATTAATCTAAATTACGAATAGAGAAGAAAAACACACATAAGTCTTATTAATATAGATAATTATAAAGCGGGAGAATTCCAAAGAGAATCTCCAATGTAAAATAATTGAAACTGACTCTTCGCTTTTTTCGTAAATGCCGCACTATTAGCAGATCCGATTATTTTCACAAGCACAAAAAAGTACAGGTGTAATCTTCCCAGTCACTAATGTGAGTAAGGAGGAGGGCACAAGAGAAGCAGAAAAGTGACGAAGCAAATTACACGGGTGCACCTATTTATTAGCCGGTTATAAAGGCCATGGACGTTTTCTTTCTTTTTTTTTTTTTTCAGCAATATAGCCTCGCTCGTGTAAGGAATTGAGACCCCGTCGAAATCAGAAAGCGTACGGCGCGGCAGATATAAAAAGAAGACTCGATAACACAAGAGTGCACAAGAGCTCGCTTAACTTCGGCAGAACAAAAAGAGCTACACACGATATCCAACTATTTGTATCTTCACATCGAAAAGTTCGGTTATATATAATCCATGTGTTTCTACCTTTTTTATAAAACCGAATTTAGAATTTTCTTATTAATTTAGGAATATAAATACCTGACGCAAGAATATCGTACATGGAAGGAACGATTTTGCTGAAATATCTAAAAATTTAACGAGTTACAGATCTGA